GTTGACTTGGTACCTGAGTGACAGTGACAAGGAGGATAAAAAAGAAGGAAGGGTGAGGCTTTGAGATGTAGTTCAGGTCTCTAGGCTGAGCATCGGGAAACATCAAAGGCACCAATGACCAAAATGGAAGAGTTGGGAAGGGCAGTTGGTCTGGGTAAAAGATAGGAAGTTCAGTTCCGGACATATTTGCTAAGGCTGAGATCAAAGCAGGACAGTCCAGGTGAGATGTTCCATGAACATGGAGATACTAGACTGGAGTTCAAAAAAAAAAGGTTTGGAGCTACCTTCACAGAATGATAACAAATCATGGGAGTAGATCTCCCTACGTAGAGAAGACAGGGAAAAGAGAGAAACCTGCTGAGTCCTGCCCCCATGGCATACCCACACTGAGGGCATTGGAAGAGGAAGAAGAACAGAGAAGCAGAGAAATAGAAAGAAAACTAGGATAGACTTAAGACCACTAAGAAAACAATGGAGGGGAAACACAGGACAGAACCAGTTCACTGTGTACCAGACTATAAAAATATGAACCTCCAAAGTAATTATTACAGTGTTAAACTCCTTAAAAGAAATTGACAATCGAAACATGTTCTGGTTTACATCCCCTTTCATTGTATGCATAAGAATAGTAGGAATATGTCTTTTGTATTGTTCTGTAGTTGACATTTTTTAGTGATTGTTTAATAATAGCAGGAAGAACAATGCTCTAGCGATATTATTTTAGGCATTCTATTGTTGCTTTTGCTTACTCTAGCCCAAGAACTCAAAATACTAAGTCTGCCTGAGACATTTTAATGAGGTCAATCCTTTTTCAATTTCTGGAACAATTGTTATAATAAACATTGTATGTTTCATTTTTTTAAAAAGTTGTAATTTATTCACTTCTTGATGCCTTCCTGATTTCTAAAAGGATTTGTATCGGAGCATCATTTGTGGGTTCAATCTGTCTGCAAAATCTTTACCAGCTCTTAACTAGGTAACTGAACTTGTTGAGTTACAACTATCCTTACCAGTCCCATGAAATTTGCGGACAGTTTTGTTAATGAATAATGCAGGGTTTCGTGAATTCCCTCATGTCCTTGCCCAAGTGAGGGTAGGTTTTCTGGGTCAGTTCCTAAAGGCACTCCCGCCTAGAATCAGTCACTCATGCTGCACGTCTCCAAACATTCCAGTGTACCTGCAGCCTCGGGAGAGGGAACACCACCAATCCAGGGCCCTCGTTCAAGCTAGGAGCTTCTTATCACTGTTCTCCTAGACTTTGCCCTCAATGTCTCTCTATCCCTCTGGGACAAAGAAGTTCAGCTATCACGATTGCTGATAGCAGAAACAACGACATCTGGTATCTGAAAGGAGGAAACTTTAAGGTCATCTTTAAATGCAAAGACCCTTAGACTTGTAAAAGGACAAGTAGAATTATCACACTCGTGTATAATACCCCATAATAGTGTGCATGAAAATAATATGCCAGGTTAATATGCTGTATTTCTTCCTTAGGTTTAGAGGTGAGATGTCTTTGCATAAGTTTCCCTGAATTCCCCAAAGCTGGATTGGGTGCTCGTATGGCCCTTGGTCTACCTTGATTGTAGCATTTACCAGCAGGAGTTGTATTTGCTTTTCTTTCTCAGTATCTCTCTTCAGACTGTGACCTTCCTGGGGGCAGACAGTGGGTCCCACTAACTGTTGCATGGCCAGCACCTGGCAGAGTGCATGGCATGAAGAAGTGCTCAGAGTATATGTGTGAAATGAAGGGAGTAAGGAATGGATCCCTGGGAGCAGGGGCAGATTTGCCAGGGAAACTGAGGCACAGGATTAATGAGTCCTCCGAAATCATCTCCCTAATCAAAGCAGACACAAAATTTAGGATCTTCTGGTCCCTAAACCATACTCTTCTGTACATATGTGACTAATACATACTACTCATAATTTTGTAAGACTGCACTTTTACACACATAATTTTTGTACATTATTTCTCCTGGTTGGTATTAGATATGTTTCCCTTCACCCTGGTCCAATTCTATATGTAAAGAGCATGATGATTTTGATTAAATCTTCACCAAGCTCACTCCCGAGATGTTGGGTTCCTGTTGCTATCATTGGGACTAAATCAGATATCAGACTTCTCATTTAAATTACATTTCCAGTAGAAATACCCACATGAGAATTAAATCTCACTTCACTTGAGTTCTAAGTTATTCAGTCCCAGGAGTGGTGACTCATGGTCTAGAGATGCCAATATCGCTAGGCAGGCATCACCACACTTCCAGCAAAGTTCTCATTTCTGATCCTGAGAAATAATTTCTTAAGAAGAGTCACACAGACCTGTTGGTGGGGCAATTTGGAGGCTGCAGAAGGAACCATTCATTCAACTCAGTATGACTGCAATACTGAGAACACAGGGCACTCACGACATCATAACACTATGGGCACATTTTTGTATCAGGCCTGCACCCTGTTCCTCCCTTCTTGCCTAAGAAAGAAATGTTAGGAGGGGAGTCATGGGTAGGTGTGGCAAAAAAATTACTGGCTTAGAAAAGCCATCCACTAGTAAATGAACAGTATAGCCATGGCAGATATGATCAAATGTAAAATCAAACAGCCTTTCATATGAAAAATAAGTAAGTTTGATCTTTACCTGGCACATAGTAGGTGATATTTGGGAGCACAAATGCAGGTAAAGTGTGGTTCAGATACTCCAAAGGAGCAGGTAATCCAAGAATCATTTGTGTTGGCTTCTGTATTAGAATTTGATTGATTCGCAGCATCTTATCATTCAAAATGTATTTTTAAATGATATTTTGCTTGAATCAATATTGAAGTTATTTCAACTTTTTGGTATACCTAACAGTTGATTTAGGAAGGAAGGAAGTAAAACAATGTTATCAATGGCATGAAAAGTGAGACAACCTTTTAAATTAGCTAGATACTATTTTTGAATGGATTTTCTCGTACCCCTCTAAGTCATATGCATTTCTCTGTAATTAAGCCAGGAGAAATATAGTGTAATGATAACACCTGTTAAGTCAATTGGTGATCAGAGGGTATCTACATGCCAGATCTCTTAAAACACTGTGTGACACCTTGAAGTATAGAGCAACACTACTACACAGGAATGTACTTGGGCTTTAGAGAATGAAGAGAAGTAAAAAAAAAATCCCCATCTCAATAGTAATGAGTTTGATTTCCCAGGTAGAAACAGTTTGGGTAAGTGAGTGGCTTGTTCTTTAAAGTCCTGCCTGTTACAAAAGCTAGCTCTTAAATTAGCTTCCCTTTGCTAATATTATCAATCAGAAAATCTAAGTCCAAGTAGAGGTTCATATTTCCCAATAGAGACCTTTCTCTCATTCACTTGCCATCAGATTTAGTAATCTCTCCTTGGAAGTGTTAAATCTTTTGGTCAATATTTCTACACCCAAATAAAGTGTTCTGGAGCCTCCTCTTTTGGAAGTATTTTGTCATCACTGAAGAGTGTTTAACACTCTATGATGCTAGACTAGACACTGGGCTAGGAGCAGCAATCTGAAGTTCATTATTGTTGGTGTAATCATTAGTCCTTACAATACCCAAAGAAGGCACTGCCAGCAAGGACTCAAACGCTCTATGAAGAGACATGAGTGCATATTATCAGTTTATTGTGGCATGTAACAGTTTATATTCAGTGAAGTAGAATCAGTGAATATCATTCTTCCAGAAAAGAAGTAAAACGAACAAACAAACAAACTGAAGAGCAAGATTAGGATTCAGAACGGTAAAAGAGTAAGTGAGAAATGCGGCAAGTAGCAAAATCATTTTTAAACATTTGGCGGGGGTACGGTGCAAAATGTGTTTAGAAGCCACACCTTCCCGGGGTTTTGTCTACAAGGCTTTGACACTGCGAAACAGCTGAGGTCTTTATTCTGAGGGGAAGGAAAAAAGGAAAGAACAACGGTACATCAAGGACAGTCCAGAGCTGGAAGTCTTTACTCTTGCAAGCCGAATCCCCAGCTCCGTTCCGGGCAAGCACATAGCCGGAGGAAATGAAAACTAGGAAAACAATTTGTCCATAGAACAATGAGATGGAGTTTCATTTTGGTTTCACACTCAAATATAAATGTGGTTATAATTTTTTTAATATATTAATACAAGGCAATGAGTCGAGTACGGTAACTTCTTAAAGCTACACTACATAAGAGCCCCACTTCTGTTCTTGAGCGTGTTTTAGCAACAGAAAAGTCGTGGGAAAGCAAAGATACAGCTGTTTCCAGGCAAAAGGCCCAGAACTGTTCGGCATCAACCACCAGTCTCCGAAGAACGAGAGAAACACGCCCTAAGAGACTCCGGGGCACATGTGTGGGGCTCCGAGCAGCGTGGGGCTCGAGTGTCCACTCCTCCCGCCCGCGACTCACCCAGGCACCCAGGGCAGGTGAAGGCGGCCAGCCTCTGAGAGCCCCGCGGTGCGAGTTCGAATCCTGCTGACTCCCAGGCACCCTCATCCAGCACGGTGCGCACCAAGTTCTGCACACTTGCCCCCAGCCTGAAGAATTCCATAACTCGCCCCTACCCAGCCCACAACAAAGGAGGCTCCCTAATGGATGCGCGATCGCAGCCCACAGAAATCACCAGCAAGGACCAGCCAGTTGAGTGCACCTGGCCATGCCACACGCGACCCCCTAGGGACGGGCGGGAGGCTCTGGCCAGGGACA